TCTGAGCCGCTGAAGACGCAGTGGATTACGTTTGTTTCTGAAGGGAATGCGCCCCCGATCTACATAAATGCGTCTATGTTCGCGCTAATCATTCGTGATCCAGCTTCACCTACAGAAGAAGTAAGTGTAAGGTTTTTTAATGAATCTTTGCAAATCGCCTTTCCTAATAATGTGCTAATTAGCAAGTTTCACGATGAATGCGGCTAAAGTAAACAGTCTCTCTGAGAGCAGTTCGGAAGAGAGGGGCGGGGTCAGCAGAGCTCATTAACATTTAAAGGAAAACACTACAAAACTGCGTGCTCTGAAAAGAGCTGTTTTTGTCAGGGTAAAAAATGTGTTTTTTACACTACCATTGAGAAATTTTAACACAAACTATGTTACAGACTTTTCATTAAGACCCTAAAGAATCATATCAACTTGTGGAAAATGGGCATCCGATGACCCCTTTAAGAGAGTGGAATCTTTCCATTTCACAAAAGGTTCTTTATGATATAAAAAGGTTCTTTTAGATTATTAAAATGTTCTTCCCAGTAAGAAAAAAAAATGGTTCTTTTATAAACTGTTCACTGAAAGTTCTTTGGGGAACCAAAAATGGTTCTTCTATGACTTGGCTGCCAAAACCTACTTTTGGAATCTGTATTTTTAGGAGTGTAAATCAGTGGAGACTAAATAAGTTTTAGTCTTGCTGACCTGTCAATCTGTGGTTGGTGTTGAAGGTTTTGGAGGCTCTGCGGTACCTGCACATGAGGGACGTTGCACACTGTGACCTGAAACCAGAAAATGTGCTGCTGGCTTCACCTGAACCATTTCCTCAGGTCTGACACTGTCATATGTGGCTTGATTTTCAATGTTTTTGATGCGTAAAGTCAAGTCTAGAATTGCATGTGGAGATGGAGATATTTAGGTATTGCTTTTAAGCTTTATAAAAGTTGAAACAGCTGAGCACGTCGCTAGAATCATGGTTTTGATTTCTGGGAAATGCAAAAACCCAATGCATGAAAAATGTTTGCATTGAATGCAATGTATGTCTCTTTGCATGAAAGTATCTGCCAAATGGGGGGGGGAGTAATTTAGTATCCACAAGTCCTAAATGTGATCACGTGGTCTCTGTTTCAGGTCAAACTGTGTGACTTTGGTTTCGCTCGTATCATCGGACAGAAGTCGTTCCGGCGCACTCTCGTCGGGACGCCGGCGTATCTGGCACCTGAGGTCATCTGTAGTAAGGGTTACAATCGCTCTCTGGACGTGTGGGCCGTAGGCGTGATTTTATACGTCAGTCTGAGTGGGACGTTCCCTTTCAATGAGGACGAGGACATTAATCAGCAGATCACCAACGCTTCGTTCATGTATCCACGCCAGCCGTGGTCCCTCATCTCACTGGAGGGTAAGAGACCCTATATTATATATACACACACAGTGAGATCAAAATTACAGAACGATCTATAAATACTTGATTTTTCTGAAATATTGTCAACCTTCATCGCTCAAAATTTGAAGGAATATCAGCTGTGGGTATACCACTGTTCGACTAACATGTTTTACAAAATAACCAAGGCATTTCAACAAAAACCTATATTTTTTAGTCAGAATTGTGAGATAAAAAGTTGCAATTACTTTTTTTTTTTACTAGTGTACATCTCACAATTGACTCAAAAAAATAAAAAAAGGAATTGTAAGACGTGAACAGAACTGTCAGAATTGCTTGAAACAAAGTCTGAATTGTGAGAAAATTAAAGGGGTCATATGATGCTGCTAAAAAGAACATTATTTTGTGTATTTGGTGTAATGAAATGTGTTTATGCGGTTTAAGGTTAAAAAAAACATTATTTTCCACATACTGTACATTATTGTTTCTCCTCTATGCCCCGCCTTTCTGAAACGCGTCGATTTTTACAAAGATCATCGGTCTGAAAAGCGAGGTCTGCTCTGATTGGCCAGCTATCCAGTGCGTTGTGATTGGCCGAATTCCAATGTTACGCCCCTTACCATACTGTGATGCCGTGTCCCGGCCGGAGCGACGAGACAAAAACATGAAAACCCATTATAAACGAGGCATTTGTTGCATCCAGTGGGGACATAATTACGGATTATAATGACTTATACTGTCTTTTTACGCATTGCGTTGCATCGTGCCGCGTAAACATAAAACCATGTCTGCATTTGTGATCGGAGAAATGACAAACAACAAGTGCTACTCTACACTGCTCAAAACTCGTGTTTGAATCGTCAGTGGCAAATCCTTTAAATATGAAAAAACGTGCTTACGGTCTGTGAGTCAGAACAGCCGGCATTGTAGTCTACTCTCCCAGGATCAGGAAACAGTCCTCCATAAAATGTGCTGCACACATCTGAATATTTGGGTTGAAGTGTTTTGGAACAGTGTTGTTAAATACAACTTAACCACTGAAGGCCAAACAAAGTAGTTTCGCTTTCACAATGAAACACAGCGTCTTCACAACATGGCGGCGGCGGCAACAATAAAGTTACGTCTTCTTTCTTTGCGTGAACATTTGGGCGGCATTATGCAAATCTTTCCAGATAGTGATGTAGATATGTGGGGGCGTGTTAGAACTAACCGTTTTAGGTAGGTGTGGCTGACTCTTAACTTTTATAAAGAATATCTCTTTGGGTTGAGACTTTAGTCTTTGCAACTTCAGGTATCTTATCTATTCACGAACAGCTTGTAACACTCCAAAGAGAAAGGAAAACTTGAAATCGCATCATATGACCCCTTTAAAAGTCTGAATGATTAAAAAGTTGCAATTACGCTTTTAATTGTTTTAGATGGTGACCTAAGGTTCTTTCTGTTAACGTGTTTCTCTCTCTCAGCGGTGAACCTGATCAATAACCTGCTGCAGGTGGTGGTGAGACGCAGGTTCAGTGTTGGCAAAGCCATGGGTCATCCATGGTTTCAGGTCTGGTGACGTTCTCCAAAACCCAAATGCCATTAGGTTTAAGTCATTGCAGGACATTGACTGGATGCACAGTCTGATTTATGTGTATCTCGTCTGTTTCTCCCGCTGCAGAACTTCCAGATGTGGTGTGACCTGCGTGAGTTTGAGCAGCGGATGGGATATCGCTATCTCACGCATGAGGCGGATGACGAGCGCTGGAGATCCCACGCTCTGGAGAAAGACCTCAGTTTCCCACAACATTTAGCAGCAGCAGAAGCAGAAGCAGAAGCAAATGAAGAGCAGAAACAACAGCCAGCAGCCACTTAGATTTTACATTAATATAACTGTGAATATTGTATTATATCAGCAAATGTGAATATGCTGTGTTGTATATCTAATTATTTAGGTTTGATTTAATGTTTGAAATGTTTTTCAATAAAATAAGAAGAGATTAACCATGAGTTTGTTTTTCTCAGAAACTGTAAGTACCATGATAAATTAATAGAATAAATTAATACAATAGAACTTTTTATATTATATTATATTATATTATATTATATTATCAGGCTAGATTTTTTTTTGAAGTTGTTGCTGTCAATTATAAATTAAATATTTGTTGATATGATTTTTTATTAGATTTAATGTTTAAATTAAACAAAATCCAGTGATATTAACCAATCGATCTCACCGTTGCCTTTAGTGCGTTTGCAATCGTTCATCCGGGACTCTTATTTTATTAACGTAATTTTCTATTCCCTTACTAGGACTTTTATTGTATAATATTTTATAAGCGCGGAACTTCCGCTTTCGTCGGCGTCTGCGTGCGAGCCAGAGATGGACACAAACAGAACTGCGAAGGTGTGAAAATATGAACTAAACAATTATTATTTTGAAAATACTGCTATGAATACTAAACGGCGATTAAAATATGAAACTTTAATTACGTTTACTAAATATGAAAGTGTTAAAATTATTTGTTAGGTCAGCTGTAATGACGTCTTTCATAAAAGTCATATTTAAGTTCCTATTATTGATTAAATCATAATCACCAGCATAATTTCCATAACGTGTTATCATTGGTGAGTTGCATAGTTATTTACCTCTTCATTTACGTGCTGTTTTAGTCTTGCACTTTATATTTCGACTCATGGAAACTGTCAAACATATTCAGGAATATTACTGGACATTACTATAGTTTTTAATATCTGCATTTAGGCAGCTCGCATGACATGATTATTATTTTTTGCATGCAGTTTATTATATGGTGATATACAATATATGGTATTTTTAGGTACAATGGCCAAAAACTATGGTAAAACATTAATAGAAGCAGCTAATTATTTATATTATATACATTTAATTCATTTATTTATTTATGAATTATCACATAATCATATATGCATTAAATATTTTCATTTTTAAAAATGAATTTGTCACACTGCAGATTTAAGTGCTCTGCAAAAGGATGATTCAAATGCTTAAAAACGTTTCTAATAAATATTAACTATAGACTTTCTCTTAAACATTAGATGCATGCAACATTTAAAATTGTCCAAGTCATTCGTGTGTTTGCGCAGCTGGAGTTTGCGGTGCAGATGTCATGTGACAGCTGTGTTAATGCAGTAAAGGGCGTCCTGGAGAAAGACCCGGGTGAGTCAAGCACAGCATCAAACCCTTTCCTTGCTCTTACAGCGCCCTGCAGTGAAATCCAGTACTTATTGCCGGAGCATGTCATACTTTCTCACACAAAAATTGATGCATTTTTGTAGCATTTTTGCTTTTGGCAGCCATTTGTGCAGTGAAGAAGTCTTGTAAACTCCAGAAAAACTGCCACAAACACACGATTCCTGTCTTAATCTGAGCCACTTTACAACTATTTGTTCAATTCTCAGCCTGTTTTCACATGATGTTATGCCTAATGCAGTTTGAATTATGGCCAGTGACAGAAGAAAATGCAAACATGAGCCAGACGAGCCTGTGGGTGTTTTACTACATCAAAACAACCAGACACTTACACATTTGAAGGAAAGTTCTTTGACATTAAAAGTAGTATTTCAAAAAAAAAATTTCACTCCTTTGCGGATTGTAAGTTAAATGATACATTTTGAATACTTCTTTTTGTGATTAAAACCCATAATTTTCACATTTGACTGCTTCTGTTATATTGATAAGTGCATTAAAAGGTAATTGCGACTTTTTATCTCAAAATTCCAACTTTTTCCTCAGAATTCTGTTTACAGTTCTGAGTTTAAAGTTTAGTTCTCGCAAATCTGAGTTTTTTTTCCCACAGAATTCTGAGTTTGTCTCACAATTCTTACTTTTTTCTCAAAATTACAAGTTTATAGGCTATTTCTCAATTCTTACTTTTTTCCCCCGAATTCTGAGTTTATATTGCTAATTTTTTTTACTTTTTTCTCATGTTTACAGTTCTGAGTTTAAAGTTTAGTTCTCGCAAATCTGAGTTTTTTTTCCCACAGAATTCTGAGTTTGTCTCACAATTCTTACTTTTTTCTCAAAATTACAAGTTTATGTCTCAATTCTTACTTTTTTCTCTCAAAATTACAAGTTTATGTTTCTCAATTCTTACTTTTTTCTCAAAATTACAAGTTTATGTCTCAATTCTTACTTTTTTCTCTCAAAATTACAAGTTTATATTTCTCAATTCTTACTTTTTTCTCAAAATTACAAGTTTATAGGCTATTTCACAATTCTTACTTTTTTCCCCAGAATTCTGAGTTTATATTTCTCATTTTTTTACTTTTTTCTCAAAATTACAGGTTTATATTTATCAATTCATACTGTTTTCCTCAAAATTACAAGTTTATATTTCTCAATTCATACTTTTTTCTCAAAATTACAAGTTTATGTCTCAATTCATACTTTTTTTCCAGAATTCTGAGTTTATATTTCTCAATTCTTGCTTTTTTCTCAAAATTACAAGTTTATATTTCTCAGTTCTTACTTTTTTCTCAAAATTACAAGTTTATATTTCACAATTCTTACTTTTTTCTCAAAATTACAAGTTTATGTCTCAATTCTTACTTTTTTTCCCTCAAAATCACGTTTATATTTCTCAATTCTTACTTTTTTTCTCAAAATTACAAGTTTATATTTCTAAATTCTTACTTTTTTTTCCCTCAAAATTACAGGTTTATATTTCTCAATTCTTACTTTTTTCCTCAAAATTACAAGTTTATATTTCACAATTCTTACTTTTTTCTCAAAATTACAAGTTTATAGGCTATTTCACAATTCTTACTTTTTTCCCCAGAATTCTGAGTTTATATTTCTCATTTTTTTACTTTTTTCTCAAAATTACAGGTTTATATTTATCAATTCATACTGTTTTCCTCAAAATTACAAGTTTATATTTCTAAATTCTTACTTTTTTTTTCTCAAAATTACAAGTTTATATTTCTCAATTCTTACTTTTTTCTCAAAATTACAAGTTTATATGTCTAAATTCTTACTTTTTTTCCTCAAAATTACAAGTTTATATTTCTCAATTCTAACTTTTTTTCCTCAAAATTACAAGTTTATATGTCTCAATTCTTACTTTTTTCCTCAAAATTACAGGTTTATATTTTACAATTCTTACTTTTTTCTCAAAATTAAATTACAAGTTTATATTTCTCAATTCTTACTTTTTCCTCAAAATTACAAGTTTATATTTCACAATTCTTAATTTTTCCTCAAAATTACAAGTTTATATTTTACAATTCTTACTTTTTTCTCAAAATTAAATTACAAGTTTATATTTCTCAATTCTTACTTTTTTCCCCAGAAGTCTGAGTTTATATTTCACATTTCTGACTTTTTTCCTCGCAATTCTGAGTTCACATCTCGCAATTCTTACTTTTTTCTCAAAATTACAAGTTTATATTTCTAAATTCTTACTTTTTTTCTCAAAATTACAAGTTTATATTTCTCAATTCTTGCCTTTTCCTCAAAATTACAAGTTTATATTTCTAAATTTTTACTTTTTTTTCCTCAAAATTACAAGTTTATATTTCTCAATTCTTACTTTGTTCCTCAAAATTACAGGTTTATATTTTACAATTCTTACTTTTTTCTCAAAATTAAATTACAAGTTTATATTTCTCAATTCTTACTTTGTTCCTCAAAATTACAGGTTTATATTTTACAATTCTTACTTTTTTCTCAAAATTAAATTACAAGTTTATATTTCTCAATTCTTACTTTGTTCCTCAAAATTACAGGTTTATATTTTACAATTCTTACTTTTTTCTCAAAATTAAATTACAAGTTTATATTTCTCAATTCTTACTTTTTTTCCCAGAATTCTGAGTTTATATTTCACATTTCTGACTTTTTTTCCTCGCAATTCTGAGTTCACATCTCGCAGTTCTTACTTTTTTCTTTAAATCTCACATTTCTTTTTTTCCCTCAGATTTTTTCCCTCAGAGTTTATATTCTACAATTCTTACTGTTTAAAAATTTTTTTTTAATAAAATTTACATTTTTTAAAATTTATATTTATATTTTATATAAGTTTATATTTAGTTTACATCTCACAATTATGTTTGTTTTTCCCACCACAAAATAAATAATTAAAAAGGTAATTTCGACTTTTTATCTCACAATTCTGACTTCTCTTTTCAGAATTGTGAGTGTATATCTCGGAATTCGGAAAAAAGTTGGAATTGTGAGATTAAAAAGTCGCAATTACCTTTTAATGTAGGCTACTTATCAAAATAACAAAAGCAGTCAAATGCATTCTCATTTAGATTGAGAAACAAAGTCTAAATTTTGAGATTAAAAGTTGCAATTACATTTTTTTATTTTATTTTTTTTATCCCATGACTGAAACAATCTTCCATAGTTCTCTCATTCATATGTGTGTGTGTGTGTGTGTGTGTTTAGAAGTTCATTCAGTGCATGTAAACCTGGCTAAGGAGCAGGTTTTGGTGGAGACGGCGCTCACCTCTCTACAGGTCCAGAGTCTGATTGAAAGCACAGGCAGACAGGCCGTCCTGAAGGGAATGGGCGGCTCAGAGACAGGTGAGACCTCAAACGCTGTGAGTGTGACCGCTGTGAACAGGCCTAATGCTTCTCATCCGTGTGTGTGTGTGTATCAGACCTGGGCGCTGCTGTGGCGATGGTCAGTGGGGCGGGGCTTGTGCAGGGCGTGGTCAGATTCCTGCAGCTGTCACAGGATCGCTGTTTGATTGACGGGACGATTGACGGACTGACGCCCGGAGCTCACGGCCTGCATGTGCACGAACTGGGCGATCTGACGCAGGACTGCATGAGGTATCACGACGACCCTTGACCTTCAACCTTTAGATCACAAGGCCCATTAGAGAGCGTGTCGGCAGCGTGCATCAGTCTGTGTTTGTCATAATGGGTTTAAAAGGCAGGAAATCCTAGATTTTGATGATTAAGATGAGATCTGGTGATCATGTGTCAAACTGAAGTCGTATTTCACTAAAAATCTTACCCTGAAAAACAAAATGCACACTGCATAACCTCATCTGTAGCTGAAATCAGTGCAGTGAAATACTTTTTTGCATGCGTATGGCTTTGTCTTGCAGAGTTTTTGCAATATAATCATTATTATATATGTGTTCTCTCAGCTGTGGAGATCATTTCAATCCATTCAGGAAACAGCATGGAGCTCCTCAGGACTCAGAGAGGGTACGTTCATTTAGTTCTATGCACAAGCCATGGGCTTCACAAAGATTTCTATTGTTTTTCACCAAGAGGAAATGATTATTTGGCACATTCTGACCTTATGCAGTGCACAGTGTCACACTTGATGGGGAAAGGTGTCACTTTGGAACTTGTTTTGAATTACATGTTTGAAACCAACATACACAACCACTGTCGGAGAGAAAACACATTTGTGTTTTTATAAACCTTATAGTTGCTAAGATGACAACTAGCCCCGGTGTATATTATATCCAAGCCTAAGTTGTATTTTATGGTATAATGTCCAAAAACTATGGTAATATTGTGGTAGAAGAAGCAGAGGTTTTATTATTATATACATTAAATTTTTTTTAATAAAAGAATTTTCTATTATTTATATTACTATTATTGTTTTTTTTATGTGTCTGTTTATTTATTAAACTACACACACTGTGGTAGAAGCAAATGATATAATATATACATTTTATTTATTTTTAAATTGTATATATTAATGGAATATAATTGTTATTTATTATTTATTATTTTAATAATTTAATATAATTTTACTTATTTATTAAAACAAGCAATTTTATTATTTTCTATATATTTTTTATTTTTAAGCAATTTACTGTGGT